TTAAAGGTAGGTTGTGGATTAATTGTGATAAATATCAATTTATTGCACTCTTGGGTAACAATTAATGCAAAAATATATGGGTCCATGTTTTGGAATAGCCCCCTTTTAGGGGTACCACCACATTTGCGGTATTTTGAAGGTCCTTGCTTCATTATCCAACCGAGGCACCTATAATTTCGGATATCGAGTTTTCAGAGGATAGAATACCTCCTCGCATATTAAATGCGTCCTTGTTTCGAGCTCGTCCTCATGAAAATGTCCCACTTTTTTATAGTGGTCCACATTACCCGACATTGAATATTTTTATTTAAAAATAATTATCGGCTTCAAAAACGAATAAAAATTTAAAAATAACCGATTGTAATTACAGATGAACGTGTATTTTTGTTAAAGAAAACAAGAAAACCACATAACCTCTTTATATTCGAGAAAACAAAATGTTCGACTATATTACAAAATCGTTCGACTATTGTGCTAAACAATTTTCAAATCACACTTTTACAATCAGAGCTACATTTTTACCTACTAAATTTTCAACATTGCAATTATTTATTAAAAACCAAGTTTGATGTTTGTTTTCACCAATTGCGAAAACATTTATCAAGGCGGCATTGACATATTTCAAGCATTTTCTTAGATATGGGGTGTGGTCCACATTTGACGCATGGTCCACATTACAAGAAGTTACTCTAAAATTGAAAATGATGAATGAAAAGTAAAAAAATTTATAGTTTTTATATATGCAGAAGGTAGTCAATTTTGTAATCTACTTAATGGAATATGCATTTCTTTCCCTTTTGTTCCAATTTGCGTACAAAAGAAAATTGAAAACATGAATTAAAAGTAAATAGATATGGGTTCATACTATAGTCAGGAGAAAGAGAATTATTTTTTCTATTTAGATCCATGTGTGATTCACGTAAATATGTTACAATTTTTGTGTTAAACAAGAAACCAAAAGTGCTACCGTTGTGCGACTGCAGGGTTACCGTCCTGTAACACTGTTTGCAACTTTTTTAGCATTGTGCTACTTTCTTCCCTTTTTATGTATAAATTCCATGGTATAATAGAAGGTAACAGCAAGTGTTGTTGTACAAAAAACAACCACATGGAAATTTGTTGTTGTAAGTTCTACTAGAGTCAACTCATTTGACAGAAAAATGTAAACAAACAAATAATCATCAAATTATTTTTATTTTGAAAATAAAATATTTTCGAATCCTCAAAATAAAAATTGAAAAACATGAATGAAAATCTATCAAATTTATATTTCTATCGCTTCCACATCTTTCCTATAATTGAGCCATTGCTATATACAGTGGCTCCATCGAATAATCGGACAAGTTGTTGTCAGATATAATAATGCTATGTCTGCTTTTCCACAGGCAAATTTTTATTTGGCAAATACTGAGTTTGTAGGCGAGAGGGGTGCGAGGAAGAAAAACAAAAATTTGCCTGTGCAGAATTTGCCGTACTCGCAAATTCGGCTTTGCTCTGTTCGTTGAAAACAATTTTGTTGACATTTCCTTTTGAACCTATTCGCTTTACTGACACACAGCCGGCTTTTGTTTACAAACCTGTTGCTTTAATTTGTGCAAATGAAATTTAATTTTTAATTTTTGCAATTTATATAATAAAATATATATAAAAATAAATAAAATATTTAAAAAAAAATCTTTAAAATGCAAACATTTTTGACTTTTATTTTCTTTCTTTTGTATTTTGATTCGCAAATTTGGCAAAGTAAAATTTGCTAATGGAAAAGCAAGCGATAATTTCAAAAGAGAAAACAAAAAATTTGCCAAATAAAAATCTGCCTGTGGAAAAGCAGACTATACATTTCAAAAAAATTGTCTAAATGTTTAGTTTTTTTTTCGCTTTTATTTACACATTACTTACTTATATTTCTGAACAATACAAAAAAAAAACAACAACTTTCCTAGTGATAACAGTAAATTTCGTCAGAAAAACAAAATTAACTCAATTTATTGTGTTCAACGCAAAATCGGACAAAGCAAAGTATCAATGTTAAAAAATGCAAAAAATCGAGAAATTAACATTTAGTTGCATATTCTTTGTTGTAAACGCTTCTGTATTGATTTGGCAAAATTCTGGCATACCTCCGGCTCTATGGACTTCCACGATTCCAGTAAAGCCTCCTTAAGCTGTACTAAGGAGTTAAATTTTTATTCATACACTCTCCTAGCTAATTCTTCCCAATTTTCCTGTTGGGTGATTTTTAAAAACATAATTTGTCAAATTCATATTACGTTGGAATCAAATCAGCTGGGATTTGCTGTTACCTTTTATAATTGTACCATGTATAAATTCCAAATAATTTGGATTCGTCTACGTCGTTTTTTAGGTATTTCATGTATTGTCGGAACAGTTTTATTGACAAGTTATTCAGAGAGTGATTCGAATTGAACAATGTACAAAAGTCGGCGTTCGCTCAGTGTTTGTATGGAGAACTAAGTAATTACTTAAGGGTCGAACAACGAATGAGAGAGCGCACAACGCTCGTCTGTACATGGCATAAAAGTTAGGTTTTTGGTTCGATTACATTCTTTCTATAATAACATAGAATATATGTATAATTCTTTCAGAATGATATTTTTTTTCAAATAAATTTAGGTTTGCTACAGAAAATTTGTAATTCCCCTTCAGTTCTCCAAATTTCTACATACACAAGATAAATGTAACAAAACCCCAGATGAAATCATTAAAAAAATTGTTGTATTATATGCCATTCCACATTAAAAGTGTAAAGAAGAGTATAGATTGTGTAAAGAAGAGCATAGATTGTGGACAAAATGTTAAAAATGGCTTAATATTTAGTTTTTTTCTTATACGAGCAAAAGTTTTCGAATTGATTTTCATTTTAATTATACACGGCCCGGTCCGGGATTCTTGTATCGCATATTCAGATTTAGTGAAAGGTGCTTTTTGTACAAGTCGGCATCTTATTTTCAAATAAAGGAGGGTGCGGAAAGGGCAAGCACTAAGTGCCAAAATTACTTCTGTCACACCCTCTGCGATGATGAGGACTCAGGACTTTATACCAAGAATAAAAAATGTTTCTAAACGTATAGAACATGTTATGGACAAACAAGCTTCAGATATATTCAATTAACAAACGTATACAGTTAAAGTGGACATTGAGACAATTTTATTGTGTGAAAGGGAATATATCGCCTTGAGGGGAAGAATAGACTCCTGAATACTGTCGTTAGACCTAAAATGTTTGGAGAGTACACCCAAAAAATGCAACATACCCAGAAATCCCAGAATTCAAAACGAGTTAATACAAATAATTGGAAAGTACATCCAGAAGTCTAATGTTGAAGAACTGAAAAGTGCTGTATTATTTTCAGTTTTAGCGGATGATATAGTTTAATCCGCTAAAATGTATAAGATGTTTGAAAAGGTATCTAAAAAAGTCAAATAACGTTTTCTTTGCTACGTGAATTAGTAGGATTAACAGGAATTAATAAATAAACACAGTAATCAGTTTGGGTTTGGATCTAACATTTTTGAGAGGTCAAGGATATGACGACGCGGTTTTCTCCTAGAAGAGTAGACAGTTTTTAAATAGAAGGCAGGAATTTATCGATATAGAAAAGGTTTTCAAGGTTTTCATTTTGGATTTAACTGCCCAAAATCCACATCTTAGACACTTTTTTCAGATTTCCTCTCAAATATTTCGCTCAAACGCATAATTCATACCTGCTCATTTATGATAACAGCTCAGAAAATTGGCTCTTTTTCACTTTAATTTTTTAAACACAAGGTCTATTGTTTTGAATGCAATAAAATATGTAATAAATATGAATCTTCCTTTAAATGTTTGGAAGAAAGTTGAGATTTCATAGTTATTATAGCCGCAAATGATGTGTTGTCAAATATATTGACAACAGCAGAACTTTTAAATTTAATATATCTTCTTTTCCTGAACACATTTTGGAATTGCCACAAATATATATATATATATATATATATATATGTATAATAAAGAACAAATTTTATTCATACTAAACTTTCCTTTTGGGTCATTTTTTAAAACATAATTTGTCATAATCGTATATTAACATAAAACTGTTAAAATTTCTGTCGTGTGATTTTAAATTATGTTCGAATATATTAGGCCTGGAATATATTAGTCCTGGTTGAAGCTAACGTATTTTTGTGTTACCAATCGATTAACTCCGCAAATTACGTCTGGTCAAGGAAAAAATTGGTCGGCATATCCATTGAATTGGGTAAATTTAAATTATTCGTCACTTGTTCATATATTCCTCATTCATATTAGCAATACAATCCATAATTAATAAAATGAATGATTCGGACCGAATATTAGTTCTTGGCGATTTTAATATGCAATATGCGAAGTGGCTTTCATTGCCAGAGTCAGAAGCTCTTACTCCATTGGCATCTGATATAAATTTAAATCAATTTACTTTTGAAATTATTAGTGGATTTTGTGACATTAATCTCCAACAAATAAATAATATAGTAAATAATCATGAGAAAATCATTGATCTAGTCTTCGTAAATCATACAGCATATTTTGAATTAGTTAGAATACCTCCTATTTGTATTCCTGGAGATAATTATCACCCCAATTTATGTATATACAGGATTTTATGTTACTCTAAACAAATTTATTTCTCAATGTGTTCCTACTATTAGTACTAGAAACTCTGATAGACATCCATGGAATACACGTGAATTGTAAAGTATAAAAAACTCAAAAAATAAACTTTTTAGAAAATTTAAAAATCTGGCTCCTCTATAGACTATGATAACTATTCTGTCATTTAATCCAAAGTCATTTTATGAATTTGTTAATCTAAAAAGAAGTTTCTTCTAAGCCTACAATTTTAAAATACAATAACCAAGAATTTTCGGGTTATTAGAATAATATCTCTTCTATTATATCTACGAGTTCAGCTCCTATCATATTTTCAATTGCTTGGGATCGCAGGAATGTTTGGGATTACCTGTATTGACTGGATGGTTAAATTCGGCGCCAAGGTAAACCAGACATCCTCGAGTGCATAGAAATGATGCTGTATAAATATGCTATTAAAACGTACACATTATATTGATTCAATTTAGAGCCGGCAATTCTTACCTTACAATGTCATCATCGGTCAATGACACACTGTCAACTGCCAGCCTCTTTAATTGGTTGGTATTGCAAATAAGGGATTTTAGTGCCGTATTTGCAATCGGACTACTTAGCATCTCGAGCCCCTCCAGACGGGTAAAACGATGTTGATTTGGACTAAAGTAGGACAGACCTTCCATCATATAGCAGTCTAAGTCAATGAGTCCTGGACACATATTTGCCAAAATTCCCAATTCTATTTCACCATTACCCTTGATCATTGTTAGATGGTCCAAATAACGACCCGTTTTCTCTAGTAGGTTTAATAACTCCGAACATGAGAATTTGTAGATTTTTAGCTTGCGTAAAAATGTATTGGAGAGTGCAATTAAACAACCCGCTTTGGGTGTATCCAAATATAGCGATTGTAATTGTGGGCACGTTTTAACGATAATGCGTAATGTCTCCTCATCCGTTGAAGTGTCGTGGAGATATTTCAGTTTGCATTTGAAGTTCGCATCGACGTTGTCGTACACAAACTTTAACGCCGGCCCAACAAACGAATAGGTTGAAAGTGTCTCCACATTCGGACAATGCTCCAAAATCAGCGCTATGTCTGAATAGCAAATATTTTCCTCTCCCATCATTCCAACATCGATTATGGTCAAACGGTCCGCACATACACCTTTACTTAGGCTTTCGATGCCGATTTCGGTAATATCGGTCTCGCCCGATATATCCAATACTTGTAGGTAATGACAATGCTTGGCAATCACTTCCAATAAATCGTCATTCGCTATAAATGGCACATACAGCTTGGTGAGGTATTTACATTTCTTTACTATCTCAAACATATAGAACATATGCTCTTCCTTGACCCAGACCCCTTTGAGGTTAAGCACACGCAATCCTGTGCCTTGAGCCGCAATTACTTGTAATATCTTTTCGTTGTATGAGAATGGAAAGACCTCCGTTACTAGAAACGAAACACCACAATTAAGCAGCATCTGCAAACAAGTGAACCGCATATTCGCATCCAAGTAATTGGAACTCAGTATCACACGCAACAAGTCCTGATAAATGTTGGAAGTAGCACCGGCTAACTCCAGATATTCGTTAATGTCCACCATTACTATGTTGATGTCCATATCGACATCAGGGCCATATTTTGCATAGCCCAGTGTCGACACAATAAGATTTGCTAACTCTCCCAGAGCACTGTCGCTCAGCGAACGTACCGGGCACTTTTTAGCCATTTCTTTCTCCGCACAATAATTTTCCGTCTCCCCTCAACCCTTCTCCGTAACTGGCTGTTCTTATACACGAACTAGAATATGTTTGTCGGTGTAGTATATTGTTTGTAAACAAATTGTTCGGACACTTCTCTCTATAATGGGCTTAAGTATAATATATATATATATATATATATATACAGACGACGATACATCCATATATCATATATTAAAAAAAAAAAAAACAGCAAGAAACCACAAGTATTTACTGTTTGGTACTTTTGAGTAAAATTACATCACATCCTTTAAAACTTTTGAATTTGATGCATACAATAATGCAAAAACTTTTTGGAGCTCAAATCACAATTTTACGAATATATTTTTTTACCGCTATGCTGGTCGTATATATGACATAACTTCATACACTTGTTTCCGTTTGGACGAGCAAAAAGAACTGAACATTAAGAACGATATTCGCAATACAACAGGGCATCCCGATCGTCTGCTTACCAAAAATACACTAATTCGAAAACGAAATGAGACTGGACGCCACCGATAGTCTCAGAGAGACAAATGTGTTTCACCACCGGCCGAATACATATGCTGATCAATTAAGTAATCGAAAATTTGGTTTCCAACTAGAGGTGTTTTGCGTCGTTTTAATATCAAATAGAGATGATCAAATATTATTGCATTTGACAACAAAGATTTAAGTAAACATTATGAATTGCAAATCGAAATTTCCCTTTCCCTTAAGATACTGATTGGCAAATCGTTTATAGTCGGCATTCCTTATAACTAAGATTAAAATTATTAACATTTACTATAAAACTGCTGTGTTTTTCAATTAGGTTCCGTTAATATAAATATCTATGTTAAATATACATAAAAAGTATGATGATAAATCACAATTTTGCTGTTATTTCCCATTTATGTAAATGGACATATCCATAAAACACGCTTGGAATTATGGAAGGTAGTCTCATTTGTGAAATTGATAATGGTAATACTTTTTAATATCTATTAATTTCAACTAATATGAAAAATAAATTCCATTAAGTCTTCGGGTAAAAATGGTTGAAGCATATGCACGCATTCCGCTGAAAATCTATCCTACAGATTTTCATCCTTTTTACCCTGCAGCGTGGATCCGCTAATGCTAAAAAAGGTCCTTTCTCCTTGCCTTCCACAATGTTGCAGAGAACACAATAATAGTTCCGTTCCAGAACCTTAAAAGAATCTACTAATTTTACAGGTTTTGCTACTTTTTACTCGAAAACCGTCCCTGAACCCACAAAACTTGTAAAACATTTAATAGAACACAGAACGAAATGGCCGAGTAAAAATGGTAAACAGGAATGCCAACTTCTGATTGAGTGTTATGTTGATTTTGAAGAATTGCCATATAATTTTGGCATATTTACTAGATTTGCGTTCTCGAGCTTCACAAATTATTTTGTACTCTGAGAGCGATTTTGAAATGTTTCCCTTTCACTAGTTTTACTATTAAAAAATTACTGGAACAGACCAAATTACGCATTTGAATTTTATAAATGTAACTTGTCATATGCCGTTGTATCAGGGACATACGCAGGGAGGGGGTCCAGGGAGCCCGGCCCCCCGAAATGTATTTTCTTTAAATAAATTTGGGTTTGTAACATACATTTTTAAGAGTAAAATGTAAAATGCAATGTAACAAAATCCCAGATAAAATCATAAAAAGTTGGTACAGAGTATGCCAAACCACATTAAACGTGTAAAGAAGAACATAGTTTGTGGATAAAATATTAAAATCGCTTAATATGTTGATTCTTATATGTGCAAAAGTGTTCGAATTGAGTTGTTTTTCAATTTAATTATACCCGGCATCGCATATTCAGATTTAGCAAAGGTGTTTTTTGTAAAGTCGGCATCTTATTTTTAAATAAAGGAGGGTGTTGAGGAGGCAACCACCAAGTCCCAAAATTACCTCTGTCGAATGAAAGATGTTTCAACCCGTATAGAACATGTTACGGACAAACAAGCTTCAGATATATTGAATGTGACCATTGAGTCAATTTTATTGTGTGAAAGGGAAGACATCGCCTCCTGAATACTGCCATTAGACGAAAACTGGAGAGTACACATAAAAATGCAAAATACCTGAGTTCCGGTACAGAACGAGTTAATAGAACTAATTGGAGAATACATCCAGAAGTCTATTGTCGAAAAAGTGAATTGTCGGTTTTAGCGAATGAAAGAAACTGTACATGTATACAATTTTTGACAAGGTATTTAAAAAAGACAAACAATGTTTCCTTTGCTAAATAGAATTAGAAGAATTAAATGGAAAATAATTTTTGACCGTCATAATAAATACAGTAATCAGTTTGGGTTTGGATCCAACATTTTTGAGATGTCAAGGATATGACGGCGCGTCTAACATGCCAGGCAATTATAATTGAGTGTAGACCATTATTAAATCAAAATTCATTTCTGCGGTATACATTCATTATTAATTAATTTTAAATGCAGCTGAAGTATATTTTCTACTATATTTTGGAAATTTGCTCATACTTTGGAAAATCCAATAATGTCTACTACTTTATGCATAATATTTCCAGAAGCAAATAAATCTTTCAAACGACTACATTCATATTATGAAACACGATTGGTTGAATAGCATGATTGCGTACAAATATAGAATATATAGTGGAATCGTTGGAAGAAATAGGGAAAATGGTAAGGTTTAATTAGGATTTATTAATAGGAAGTAGAAGTTTCAAGTCATATGTAATGAATTCGAACTCCTAATATTTTATAGAATTACATTATTTCACACAACAAAAAAAATTATTGTAAAATCAATTAAAATCATGTTGATTCAACATTTTTCCTAACGATTCGTTTCATGTTGATTCAATATGATTTTACAGTAAAATTAAAATAAACTTTTTTCTCTTAAAAATAACACGAAATCATGTTAATTGACTGTGCTGTTCTAGTTGAATCAATGTGATTATCATTTTCAAATAGTGTGTAATTCTTATTAAATTAATATTTTTAAAAGTTAAAATAACACGAATTTATGTTGAATCATGAATGATATGAAAACCCCATTGAAACAACTTGGAATTTCATGTTGAAATAACATTTGTTCATGTTGAAATGTTATGTATATTTTGGTTATTTACTTACTATTTTGCTTTGGTAAAATTTAAGTTTTTATAAATATTACAAATATTTGTTTCGTATATATATTACCATCATTAATATGGAATAGATGTAGAGGAAGATTTGTAAATTTATGGAGTTCTTTAACTTGTCATAAGTACGATTGAAAATGTTCATGATGGTCAATCGCTAAGGAATTCGTAATTGCTACCACACGACTTCAGTTCGCTTTGCCTTAATGAAAATGTTCTTTGCCATTTGTCTTTAACTTCGTCCCAATTAGAAAAATCCCTCTGCAAAAAATAATGTATATTACCAAGAAGAAAAGCTATGATTTAAAGGTTTACCTTAGGCAGCTTAGAATTAGCAATTGATGTTGATAAGGATAAAGCCGGTGGTGATGTACTATTACTAGATTAATTTTATGACCAAGAGACTTCTATATTGGCAATCGTTTGGGACAAGGTATCGTATCAATGTTATACTGTAGAAAATACGAACAAAATATTTGGAAATAATAAAACGAAAACATGATTTAAAATTATTTTCCTTACTTACATTTTTCTCCAACAGAACAAATTTTCCCGGAAAGAATTACGAAGTCCTATTGGTGGAATAGCTCCCTTTATGTCCTCCTTTTTTAAATTCACTTAATATTTGTATCACTTCACTTTTCCACGCGGTATACGCCTTTACACTCTAATGAATGCTATAGGAATGGAATTTCAGTTATATACACTAAAATAGCTGTACTTCTACTTTTGTTGTAATTCAACATGAATTCATTTAATTTCAAAATTATTTCATGTTGTTTTAACAATCCACAATTTTAATTCAATCTTGTTCCTATTACCATTTACAATTTAACATGATTGAAATGTTGAGTCAATGTTAATTAGTTTTTAAAATATTATCATTTAATTTCAACATTAGGTGTGTCTGGTTACTTTTCCAGTAACATTTATTCATAAGTTCTAGTTCAGAGAGTAAAGCTCTTTTTCTCTCTTTTTGGTGAACATTTAGAAGATTTAGCAAATAAACAGCTGATTCAAGAAAACATTTGATTTGCGCCAAAATAAACAACAAACAAAGGACGAACACAATTATTTGTATTGCATTTAATATTAAAAATAAAATGAATAATAAAAGAAAAATTGATCTGGTATGTTCCCAGCATCAATACATTGCCCTCTATCTGGAACTTGCCTGAAAATATATAAGGAATTAGTTTCTAAGTTAATGAAACTTTGCATTACTTACGAATTTTCTTCCATTTTCTGTAATTAACTTCAAATTGAACTTTGCAAATTAAAAAAAATGTTTTAAATAATTTTTGTGTTTGGTCAGAAAATGGCTGAGTTGCAAAATCTTACTGAATAAAATTCTTTCAGTAAACTCCAGCAACTTTGTTGTTGATCAACTGTCAAACTTGACTCTCTTTTACTAGATTTTTGTGTAAACAGATAACATTTACTAACATTTGGTAACAATTATTACTTAATATAGAGTTAACAGACAGAGCTATTAGTACTATTGATTTTACTATTTTCTCAATGTTGATTTCACAATGATAAACGTTATTTTAGCTAGTCACAATGTTAATTTAACACGATTGAAATATTGTTTCAACATGAGTCAATGTCATTTAATTTTTAGAATAGAAAAATGTCATTTCAACATTAATAACTATAAATTTTACTATTGTCGCAATGTTAATTTAAAATGAAAAATTGATATTTTTATTATAAAAATCCATCTATAGAAATTTAACGTTGTCTACTGTTATTTTAACTATGAAAAATGTTAAAATGAATATGGGCATTTTTATTTTTACGTGAAAACTTTGAAATCAACAATGTTTAATATTAAATTAACATGTTTTACTGTT